TGGTACTAAGGTGTCTTGCTCAGTCGCGTCAATTGCGTTGCTTCGTAAGCTGCCATGGTTTTATACCAATTCGAAAAACTTACCGTTCGCGATGAACGAAAAGAATGGTATTGGAGAGTCTAAACCGAAACAGAGCCGGCGCCAGGGAGAATCCGCGCCTGAGCTGCCGGTTGGACATGCGTATGCTGTTGTACCACTAGGGGTCAGTAAAGTGTTGAGATATGTAAATATCCACAGCATCAATCAGGTTACTTCACTGCCTTGCTAATGATAAGGGTGTACCATAACTCATGGGACCCATTTCACAGGAGGCACAAGAACGTGTGTGCTACCTGTCCTCGTCTCAAAGTCATGTAGCCATTTTCGCGTTTCATTAATTCGCGACTGACTTATTTATCGCTCGGTCTGTCCGCAAACTCGCGACCGTCGTATCAAAGAATTTCGCAACGTTCCAAAAATTCCAGGTGTATAGTACTTATCCAACTCCTACGAAGATAAGTAGCTGCGGATTATGGAAACACAAAAATGGCTCTAACTTGGAAACTAGAACAGACAGCACACATGTTCATACGGACCTCTTTCGTCGTTCTTGTGTCTCCTGAAATGGGTGCCTCATGTTACGCGCGCCAATTTTTGTAAACCTGACTGTCTCGCGGGTACCTGGGTTCCTGAAATGCTTAGTTGAGGTCGCTAGCCCTATAAATATCCACATGACGCATATCTGGCTGCGCATGAAAGGCTCGTTGCAGTTACTCGTACAACCTAATGCTCAAAGTTGGAATTAGTTAAGTTGGCTTTGATCTTCTGCCAATTTACTACATTACGATATGCTTTAGGCTGCATAAACTGTTCGCAAAACACACGTTCCTGCACACGACAAACACTCGTTACGCTGGTTATCGCGATTTCTTGCTCAAAGACAGTACTAACGAGATTAGGATTCGCCGCTCTGCCAGTCACGCTTACACGCATCGCGTCTAACTTTCTACACGGGCCATTTTCAACGACGCTGAACGCCTCGTAAAGACCAGTTTTCACCGGAAAAATACGTTTCAGGATCCCTGCGTGTTTATTAGCCGAGTTTGCAAGCACAGATGACGCAGGGCACTCGGATGTATTGCAGGTAGAGATCTCATGGGATTTCGCTTATCGAGGACTCTTACGGGCCGGAAAGAAAGTTGCGCGCGAAAGTATCTGGAACGTGGAAAACGAGGGAAATCACGGCGATTATATCGGCTCGATATCGTGGCGTCCCTATGGCCACGTTGTTTCGTGTGATTTGCGTTTCGCAAGTGGGACAGTCGTGAGAACACGATTCGTAAATGCTTCGCTAAATCAGGCCAGGCAATCAAACTGGCGAAGGTGTATCTTCAGGGTGGGAACCTTTCGTTTCTGTGCTAGTGCCTTTAGATTTCTCGTTTTCACTAGCGAGTCCAATTTCTTCGCGTTTGTCTTCTTCAAGGGGAACAGAACGATGTTGCAATGTGGTCAATTGTTGTTTCATACCTTTCAATCTTTCTTAATAAAATATTCATCGTATAATTGGATGGCGGTGGAAGTTCCTTGGAATTTTATTACATTTTCTAAAAGATTACTTTGCAAAACCAACGAATTCGCGTAATATGAAAAGAAGAATATTCGTTCTTGATCACTGCGATGTAACTACAACGAAGATTCGGATTAGAAAATTTGTAGTTTATATTGTATCATATTTGTAGTTTTAAAGTTGATGTGTAGTCAAAGAAGTTAGAGAAAAAGGAGGGTCTCAAAGAGAAAATTACACGACACGCAAAGAAACATATTATACTCTTGTGTATTTGACTTTTCGGTGACCTTGAAATCTTCCGTGAAGTCAACGTTACAATTTTTAAAAGGAGACCTTCGTCTTTTATCATATGTTTTTGTAGCTGACATCCAGAACTTTTCAAAATAAACACGTGCCTTCCGCACCGTACTTCACCAGAGGTTTCAAGATCGTCTCAAGGTGAAATACCTCAAGAGCACAGTACATCTACCTCGATATCGTGGGAATTTCGTTCGACACATTTTTTTGTACCGTTCGTATTTTTCGAGATATTTGAGCGGTTTCAGGACACACTGCAAACACAAATTGTTGTTATCAACATGATAAAAGGTATCTAGTATACTGTTACTAAAAACCTACGTTCCAGTTATAAACTTTCTTTCGACCACAGCTGTACAAGTCTAATGAAATTACAACGCCGTGGGCTTCGTGAGACGCTGGATGACCCTCTTTAGAAAGGTTTTTGTATAGAAATGGTTAATAAAATTTCTCATTCGACAGTATGCCAAACCACGTCATTTTTCGTAACGTCAATTCCATCAATTTCTGACTATTAGAACGTGTTATAGTTTGCAGTCTTGGAAAGATCAATTAACACGTGAACGAACGTGTAATTCTTTCGTTTCATTCAGTTAAAGTAATTAGCGATCAATGAATTTTTCTTGCCGCGTAGAACCTCTTTTTTCACGTGTTAATTCGACGTATTAATTGGTAACTTGTAACTGCATAGTTTCTCTAGTAACAGTGGTTGAATTGTGCAAGAGGGAAATTAGCACGATTAGCCTTCAGCTTCCATAACGGTGCTTGCAGAAACCAGGTTCGAATCTGCTTACTCGACGTGCAAACCATGTGGTTTTTGCCATCGTGAGAAAGGACAAGGTATTCTTGACCTTTCTCGAAAGCCAGTTTCGTGGAATCGCGTTCACGTTCCATTTCTCGAAAATAAAATCTCGAATTTCGAATAATAAAATCTTTTAACCTCCTAGATCCTAGCGACAAACGATATTGTTTAATTAATTAGACGTTAAAAATGTCTAAGCCTGAACAGCAGATCTACTTTCGTGGAAATATAACGAGACAGAGACGAAGTAACTATTCGATTTAATAGCTGAAACAATTTGCGAGTGTTCGTCAATAGTCTCGGGCGACTGATAATGACACGATGCTAATTATCTCACACTATGTCACTATGACACGCAATAGCACGAATAGAGCCATCTTCCGGGTTATTGTTCGTCGTAGAACTTATTGAAACTTCAACACGTGTAAATATAATTCACCTGCTGTCCTTTAAGCTGCTGCGTGGAAATTTGACGTGCAAATACAAAGGTTATGAAGATATTAAGGAACGAATTCGTCCTGGTGATATTCAATGAAATCTAGTAACATTTAGAGGCAAGTCCTAGAAACTTTTATGGGATCTAACTGAATAATAAAATTGTTGGTAATTTCCTTTGGATAATAAGAATAACATTATTTCTTAGCAGAGTGTAGTTGATTTTTCGATTTGAAAAAAAAACAACTAAATGAGCAAAATAAGCATAAGTGACTAAAGTTTCGTAAAGAACTATACGAGTAGATACCATCGTCGTGAAGCTTTTTAAGACCGAAGTTTCTTTAGATACGGGGAAAAATTCATTCTTGCCAATTGTTGGTAATAAAAACGTATCGTTTCCGATGTTTCGTAAGGGAAATGTAACGCATTCAAATTTCTAGCCAATTTGCCAAATAAAGCGTCTATAATGCGGTTAAACAGTACGAATAATGTGTTGATCAAGGCGGAAAAATAATAGTAAGCTATCACAATTTCACGAAGAAATAAACGAGGAACCGAAACGTGCACTTAACCTCTTTTAAACAATATCAATAACTCTTACCTAGTTATTTAATCTAGTTATCTTTCCCATTCGAAAAAGAAATTGGATCAAAAAACCGTGAAAATATCGTCTGTAATACGTTGCTTCGAGCAACGTGTTTCTAGCAAATAATAAATTACCAAAAGTTGACGAAAAACTATCAAAGTATAATCGTTGTGAACCTTCTTTGAACAACGATAATTCCTCTACGTCGATCTAGTTATTCGTTCCATGGCAAAAAAAAAAACTAGACATGGAAAAATACCACGTAATGTCGATATTTTCTTCTCTATAAGATGCTGTTTCCAGCAACGTGGATCACCTATGCAAATTATTTGATCGTTCTTCCCGATCATAGAATAGAACATCTGTTGCGCGCTGAACACAAACAGAGCCTACCGATCACTCGGTGGTCACGGGTTTCGTTTCACGTGATGCAGTTTCCGGTCGATCACGAGATCTCTGGTAACCCGATTTCCTGAAATGCACGCCGCGTCGCCGGTACTTTCTTTTCTTTCACCCGAGGGGAACCGGTGCCAGCGAGCACCTTTCTACGCGGTACGATCGAATTTTTATCCACCAGGCCGCCTAGTGGAATTCCATGGCGAAGCAATGCCAGCAACCCACCAGACCCAGTCGAATCGTCCTTTCGTCTCTTTTTCTTTCTTTTCTTTTTTTTCTTTTCTTTTTTTCCACGCGTCGCGTTTTAATCATCAGGTGAACGAACTTTTGCGGAATCGAAACTTTCGTCGTCGCGCCGCTCGCTTACATTCTCATTAAAAGGAACGTTTAGTTTCACGATAGAACTATATATATATATCATCATTCTATTCTTTACGATTTATTATTCTATATAGCGTATTTTAGCATTGCACGTTATGCTTTGTATCGCTGAGAAACGAAATTGCTAATTTATAACTAGACTGATATTGTTATTCTATTGGATAAATTCTACATTCTAATTATTCTTAAGCCTATTCATTTAGGCAAAACACATATTTCAAGCATTGTTTGTATAAAATAGCACATTGCTTTCGCTTGTTCTTATTTGATTATTAACACCGTTTCAGTGTGTTCCATTGTAACGTGGAATCTACACGCCGAGTATTGTTCAAATTTGTACATTTTTGATATGCAATGTTATTTGACTAATCTTTCGGTATTCGTCGATTTTGATGAACTTCGCGAAAGCGTTATACGAAAAAAGAAGATATCTGAAGAGATATAAAGAGGTAAGAAAAATAGCAGAGATAAATTTCCAATGAATATATAAAAATTCACCGTCTCTTTATAAATTAACAATGAAAATCCGTTAATAATGAAAAAGAGAGCAGACTCACATGGTATTTTGAACTTCTTCGTGGCGGTCTGTATGCTGGAGCTCGGATTGAACGGGATGCCAACGCTTTTCGATTTTCCCGCTGTACTGGCGGTGATCGCACCAGTCTGTATTATCGAGATGCCAGTTTGCTCCATGTCTCACGAACTGGTCCACGTCAATCTGCCTGCCCGTTAAAAAATTCAACGTTCATTTCATCGATAGAACTGGTCGAGTTTAAAGGGAAGAAAAACAGGAATTCTTTCTTAGCGGCTATCTACGAGTAATTTTGTTTGTTTTTACAAATGGGAAATAATTTGTCCCGGGAATTTGTCAATAGCCATCCCATCGAATTCAAAGAAACAATTAAGAGAAAGGAAGGACAAAATAGGAGATCTTCTTTCAGCAGTATCCATAAATAATTTTGCTCGTTTCTACAAAATAGGAGACATTTTAATCCGTAATTTGTCAGTAGCCATTTCGTCGAATTGTTAGAAATAGAGCAACGAAAGAAGAAATAGAAGTTCTTTTTTCAGAAGCGTCTATGAATAATATCGTTCGTTTCTACAAACTAGGAGACATTTTAATCCGTAATTCGTCAGTAGCCATTTCGTTGAATTGTTGGAAATAGAAAAACAAGAGAAGAAATAGAAATTCTTTTTTCAGAAGTGTTCATCCATAATATCGTTCATTTTTACAAAATAGGACACATTTTAATCCGTAATTTGTCAGTAGCCATTTCGTCGAATTGTTAGAAATAGAGCAACGAAAGAAGAAATAGAAGTTCTTTTTTCAGAAGCGTCTATGAATAATATCGTTCGTTTCTACAAACTAGGAGACATTTTAATCCGTAATTCGTCAGTAGCCATTTCGTTGAATTGTTGGAAATAGAAAAACAAGAGAAGAAATAGAAATTCTTTTTTCAGAAGTGTTCATCCATAATATCGTTCATTTCTACAAAATAGGAGATATTTTAATCCGTAATTTGTCAGTGTACATTTCATCGAATTGTTAGAAATAGAAAAACGAAAGAAGAAATAGGAATTCTTCTTTAAGAAGTATTCATCGACAATATCGTTCATTTCTACAAATGGAAAATATTTTGACTAGGAATTTGTCAGCAACCGTCTCGTCGAATTGCAAGGAATAAATAAAAGAAAAGTAAAAATAGAAATTCTTCTTTCCACTTGTAGTTTCGTTCGTTTCTACAAATGGAAGATATATTTTGTCGCGAAATTTCTCAGTGGCCATCCCATCGAATCTCGAGAAACAATCAAGAGAAAGTGAGAGAAAAATAGGAATTATTTTTTCAAAAATATCTATAAATAATTTAATTCGTTTTTGTAAAGAGGAAGCATTTTGATACGTAATTTGTCAATAACGATCTCGATGAATAAATTTAAAGAAACAAGGGATGGAGGGGAAGGATAGAGAAATGGAAATTGTTTTTAAAAAGCATCCATGAATAATTCCATTTATTTCTATAAATAGGAAATATCTGGATGCGGAATTTGTCAGTAGCGACGAAACACAATGGTAAACGCGTCGTTTTTCGATTTCGTTATCAGCGAGTTCGGAGACGCGTGTATAAGTGGGACGGGGTCGTAAATCGCGGCTGACAGAACTGTGAAAAACGCGAGAAATAAGGCGGACGGCTGTAAATCGTTGGGAAGCGGCGCTTTTCTCGCGTCGTAACATCGAATTGATAAAGAGACACAGGTACTGTACGTTTCCTGTTTTCGCAAACCCATTCACTCTACAAAAAATGAAAGTTTACTATACGTTTCAAAGATTACATCTACTATTTTTCATTGATTTCGTACTCACAAATTTCCTATTTATAAAGAAATTTGACGAAGAAAGCAATCTCAAAGGAAAGAGAATACCCAATTTTCTTTCCTCCTTCTTTTCCTCGTATCTCGAATTTTTATTCGATAAACGGAAGTAGATATTTTGAAAACCTGGTACTATGATGTTTGTATTTCACTTTTTTCCACCTCGTTTGATATATTATGCGATTGCTGTTCGTAGCTAATTTATTGGATTGGCAATTAAGCGATTGCGGATTTTATCATTATCACCTAGTTAGGTAAGTAATAAAGTAAAGTAAAGTGAAAAAATGCAAGTTTAGCAAGTAAACAAAAAATAGAAATTACTATTAAATAATTATGAATTTAATATTTTATAAAATTTAATATATATATATATATATGTATGTATAATTTCTTAATTTATAAATATTATATTTATATAAATATTGTAGGTAATGTAATTTTTTATATGAAAGAAAATAATGTTAGTAATTAAATACAGGTATATTAAATTAATAAAATTTGAATTATTTAAACCTAATTAGATGGTAATGACAAAATCCGCAATCGCTTAGTTGCCAACGCAATATTATTTCCTATCGTCGGAAACAGACCGCAGCTGTACACTTTTGCATTTCCATTCTACCCCTATCTTTATGTTTGTCTGAACAGCGATCAAAAGAATTGAAGCTAAATACAAATTTACGATGCTCCATCTAGCAAATATCGCAGTATGTAGCCCGGATATTTGACATATCCTCGCGCGTTATGTGCATCTTGTGAATATTCGTGTCGTTGAATTCTTCAAAAACTCAGAAATATTCGCGTAACAAATTGAAACGATATAACGTGCTGGATCGTTTGAATTTCAGCGTATCAATTAGTTGCGCTTTGGCTGGCTGAGTTTGCTTACCCGAACGTCATTGTTTGTATTTTCTTATTCGAATTACGCGAACGAAAAATAACAGGTTGCAAGGAAAATCAACGAGTTCCTATTATTATGAACTGCGATTATATAAACTGTCCGCCGACGAGTTCAATTAAACGTAGTTCTGCCGTGTTCTAACGATAAAACTCGAAGAAAGTGGTAAAAGCTCGACGAAAAGACCGCACTGCGTGTCGAGTTTACCGCCGCATTGTAACGATGACTTTGACGAAACGATAGAAAGTGCGGGTCGTATGATCGAAACAGAAAGCAATTAATTAGCAATCTACCGTACCAGTGACACTTTGACGACGCGGATAATTAAATTGCACAGGCCGAAATTCAGGTAGTCTAATTGATATCGAATTCTACCATTGTGCCAAGGCTAATTGACGTTAAAGAGCACGTTATCGTTGCGTTTCCATTAACCGGCTAATTATACCACGGCAGAAAGATAGAGTCTCGGTCACGCGTTATCGACAGATCGAAACTTGCCGTTCATGGTGTTAAACGGGAAAATTCGGATCGTTTCGCTTCGTCGTTTCACACGCAGTGGCTCGCCAAAGTATTTCAACGATTAACATAGGAAGCTTCGAAGCTTCAAAGAAAAAAAAAAAAAGAAAATAAAGGAAGAAAGACTCGCGAAGTTACGATTCTACGTAAGTCTTTCCGAATCTGCATTGCGACTTTTTCCGAACATAAAATGTCGATAACGTTGTCCCGAAAGTTTCTTTCGTTTTGCGAGGAAACAATAGATGTATGAAGTATCTTTTGTTTTATATCGTTTTATTGGATTACGTACGATCCATTCTGTTCCAATAGAACAAAAATCGTCGTGCGTCTGTTATTTTCATACAAAAGGAAAGAAACTTTTGCCACGATCTGATGTATACGAATTTTGCTATATGTTTGTCGTATTGCATCATACGTGGTATATTTTTGTATAGAAGATGAAGGTAGTGAAACGTCTTAATCGCGTAGGGAGATCAATAAAAATTATTATCATTATTATGATTATTCAAATCAGGATACCGGTTAGATCATTTAAAGAGTAAAGTCCACTTCCATTCATAAAAATACGAATTTGCACGAACGTCTGCCAACTACATATTAATAAACCTCGACAAAAATTTGACTGTTCCCATCTTCGACATTTGTCGTACGTATAAGCTGGCTATACATGGTGTGTAGTAATTTTTGAATAAATCTGTGTCTGCAACTATTATATATATTTCCTGATTAAATTTCACCAATATTATTACGATAGTCGTATCTCATTGCAATGTTAATACAATTTCAATATGCATCCGTGTAGGTATATTATAAATTATTATTTATAATATACCATTCATATAACATCATACGGTGTATAATACATTGAACAACCATAATTTACTCATCAAACATTTCTACACGTTGCAATATATTTTGCACAACGTACGTAACTTATTCATAAGAGGTGGAAAGTTTCCACAAATGTTCAACTGTTTGGCTACATTATCGTAGAATTGCATGCTCCGTGCAATCAAAATCAAGTGGAGCGATCGATAATCCTGATTTAATCCCCGGCCAAGGATCTCACGATAAGGATGTAATCTTTGTGTGGCGCGTTGTAAACATCGGAGTAGTTGGTAATCGAAAATTCCTATACGTACACACGTATCTGAAGTTTAACGTACAACCGTGACCAAACTATGGATTAATCGTCTTGGATATTCCTCTTTTAGCGATTTCAGGTGTTCTTGCTTCGAATTCCGATTAAAATACAAATAATTCTTCCTTTCTCCTCTCGTTTCAATTTAATTCTCGTATTTGCGAGATTTGATTCGTTCTATCGACTGGTTTAAATTTCAATTGAAATTTCTACGAGAACTTTTGCGTATTCAAGTCGAAGCTCGGGCTTCTACGTTTTATCTCGATTCGAATCGACGTTTCTACGTTTCGATCGAAATAAAAAAAAAGGGAGGGGGAAATCTCCATATTTCGATGTAAACTCAAGTGCCCAATGTCAACAATCCACGCTTCGTAACGAAATCATTATCTTCCGTGCCCATCGAAATTCAAATTCAAATCTGTGAACTGTTAGAAATTTCTGAACGAGAATTTCGAACTTCCGCGTTTCACGGCTGGAAAAAATCATCGTGCAACGATCGTGATCGTAGGTAATCGTATAATACGCAAAGATAAGCAAAGTATACGAAACGTAGTTTGGGAGCAAAAATAAGAGACAACGTAGTGGAAATAAATTCTTCAAGTACGAAATGTTTACGCAAAAATATAAATATTAATTTCAATTATTTAGTAAATAATCTACGTGCCACAAAATTGGGCAAAATTTGATTCTATGAAATTTCTTACTTCAATGAAAATCATTTAAAAACGAAAAATAATTTATCTGTTATTGCTAATTTGCAAGTTAAATTTTATTTCCCACTTGCATCTAATCGACGAACAAATGATAATCTATAAACGAATAATTTTTCCTCCTGTCTTATCTATTTCCATTTGTTTATTAATTTGATGGTTAATTAACCAGACCGCAGTTGACACTTGCTCATAAAACTACTCGCTTTTCGAACGAATTGTTCGCAAGTATATTTGATCTTGGTCTATTCATAATAATCAACAGACGTGTTATTGACAATCCCAAATTCCAATACACAATACTCTCTCTCTCTCTCTCCCTCTCTCTCCCTCATTGAACTGTTACCTACGTGTAAAAATAGATTATCTTACGCATCGATAAGCAATAAATAAAAATAAATAGAAAGTAAACTGACATTCCAAAATAACACTTAATTTCATTGTTTCGAGTAACGCACTCGAGCTCGTCCAAATAACGGACAATCCTTCCTCTTCTTCGACTGACCTGCTCCATAACAAATCACTGTCCGTTGAAACAACTGTCTACGTGTAAATTTCTTCAACAATAGCCTCAACATTGACTATAAAACTGCACGATAACCAAGACCAGTATACGGCAAAAAATAGTAGCAGTTTGATGTTCAACTTGCTCGAAAATGAAAAATCTACCTCCACTAGATGCTCTCGCTTAGACCTGTCCCGCTTATTTCTGTCCCTCGCCTTTATACAGCGTACCGATTATTATTCTAATATTCACCGGACGAGATCGATTTTCTACCGAAATTCCACTCGTTCCATTAGCTTAATAGAAACGCGTGTGTGGGAATAAAAATCCGCAGTCCGGTTCTGCGTAAAGTGACTCACGCTGAGACGAAGATCGATCAGCTGTGCTCCACCTCGTGTTACGTTGCGAGCAGAGAGAAGAGAGGAGCACGTGGTGTTTCTCGCGGTCACTCGGCCGAAGCTTGACGATATGACACCTGGACAAAAAGCGGCGGTTGGACTTGCGCGATTCGGCACAGCGTCGTAATGTCGCGTGGCTTCAACCAGACTGAATCGGCTCGCGACTCGCTTCTACCTCTATATGTAGAATCTCCTCCTCTGGCAGGCACTCTGGCTCCCGTTACTTCTGCCAAATCGATGCCAACCGACCGACATAGTTTCTCATCCTTTCGGACGATACTCCCCTCGGACAATGCCATTCTTTCTCCGTAGCCAGCAAACGGATTCTGTGCCTTCTTTCGCGCGTCTTGCTCTTCTCGCGTGTTGATGAACGCGCGGCGTACTGCGAGCAAAGTTGGCGCGATTATTGCATTGACAACTAACTGATTGCGGGTTTTGTCATTAGGTGGTATTGACAAAATCTGCAATCGCTTAGTTGCCAACGCAAGAGTAGGTCAGCGATTTGTTTGTTTATTTATTCGTCGGTATATTCCGAGATGGCTCGTCGTTAATAAACGATAACGTTATCGATGATCAGGTTGTCCGAAAAGTGTCTTTCTTTCACAGACACGTAACGACGCATCATCATACAAACGTGAAACCTAATCTATCGAACGTTGTGATCTTTATCTCGATAGAATAAAATGGATCATTCGTAATTCGATAAAATAATAGAGAAATGTTGTGCATTCGTTATTTTCTTATACAACGAAAGAAACTTTTCGGACCACCTAATATGTTACTAGCGATCGCACGTTTTGCAAGATCAAACGTCAGGTTACGTGGAACGAAGCAGGTGCAGGCTGTTTAAGAAACGTTCGAGCCAAGTCTGTACAGGTTTGCAGGAAATTTGAAGTGGCAAGATTGGACGAAATATGGGAAATATGGTACTTGTAACGTTCGGTGGATGAAACAGATTTATACTCGGATACCATTTGGTTAGTTGGCTTTATAAAGATGGAAATTCGCAGAAAAATCCACAATCCAGGAACTGTTGATAATGATGAGACTTTGACAGATAGACAGATAGACTATTATATAATCGTGATTAATTGTCATTTCGCAGAGTTTTCTACGTTAATCGGATTAATACCGATAAAGCAATTAATTTTGTTTGATGTAAATCGATAAAAATTTGATAAGCTCAAGTTCTCTAGATTTCGAAGCTTCAATGATGGTTAAGTAACGTATATCTGGTTCTTGACATTCCTGTCTTGTTCTTATTAACGCGTTCCGCTTTATCGTTCGGACATTCCAGATCGCTTGTTCGGGGCAGATCTGGAACGTTGCGCCTGTTTCCTTTCTTCCTTTTTTTTTTTTAACTTTCAATTCGAAGATGCAATTGAACTGGAATTTTGAGAACACGACAGAAATCTGGAGGATCAAAAATACGTTAACACTTTACCGACCGATAGCCGACTAATCGGATTTTTGTCCCCGACGTTTATCAACCGATAGCCTATTAATCGGCTTTTTGTTTTCCGATTATCTTTCTCATTATTCGAGCAGTAATTTGTTATTTAGTACTAAAATACCTTGCTCAGTCGCGTCAGTTGCGTTGCTTTGTAAGCTGCCACGGTTTTATACCAATTTGAAAAATTTACCGTTCGCGATGAACGAAAAGAATGGTATTGGAGAGTCTAAACCGAAACAGAGCCGGCGCCAGGGAGAATCCGCGCCTGAGCTGCCGGTTGGACGTGCGAATGCTGTTGAACCGCTAGGGGTCGGTAAAGCGTTAGGTTGAAGATTGTCGACTTTGTGAGCTTGGTGGGGTGAATAAAAATACTACAATAGAAGCTTAATTAGGTTAAGTCACTTTTCAATCGATTTTTCCAAAGATTAATTTCTAACGTTTATACGAATATATCGGAAAGAAGATTAATATTTTTATTAATATCTATTGACATTTTTATCATTATATGTTTCAATGATCGATGTTTAATATTTATGGAATACCTGTAAGAGATTAAATATCATCGAATTATTTAAAATATCGATAAAATCATGCTCTAACATTCCAACAAGCAAGAAATACCGTGTAACGAAATTTCGTTAATCGCAAGAATTCAGGGTTGAAGAGAGTTAGGAAACTTTTTAATAGATTCTATTTAAAACACGGACCGTGAAACTTTTATAGAAAACGTTCCCACATTATAAGTTCCGATAAGAACAGATAAAGGAAAGTTCACGAAAATAAAAGTTTAAACTTTGAATAGAACTTAATAAAATATAGATATAAACATTTTTCCATAGAAAATAACGGCGACGGATATCTCGCCCGTTGATATTAAAAGTTCTCGATTATTCCAATAAATATTAAATATTATTTAATGTACTACAACCATATTACATAATAACTGAAGTTGATATTCTAAATATGACATAATATTTATTTTTATAATACGTACGTAGATAATTCACAAGTTCAAAGCTTGTTTGTGTTTCTCTTTGAAATGAACAGTTAGAAAGGTAAGGACGTTACTCAATATATATACATCATATTCGTATATGTATGTTTGTATAGACGTATACATATACAGGATGGTTGGTAACTGGTGGTACAAGCGGAAAGGGGGTGATTCTACGCGGTAAAAGAAGTCGAAAATATAGAATAAAAATTTAAAAATTTAAAAATTTAAAAATTCAAAAATTTAAAAATTTAAAAATTTAAAAATTTAAAAATTCAAAAATTTAAAAATTTAAAAATTTAAAAATTCAAAAATTTAAAAATTTAGAAATTTAAAAATTTAAAAATTTGAAAATTTAAAAATTAAAAAAAATAACGTCAATCGAGACAACGATCTACAGTGAGATCCGTTATAACGAGACGCGATAAAGTGCACGCGTACCGAGCCAAAATTCAAAGTCGATTTTCTCGAAAACAAAGCCTCGAACGGAAAATTTTTATTCTATATTTTCGACTTCTTTTTTCGCCTAGAATCACCCCCTTTCCGCTTCTACCACCAGTTACCAACCACCCTGTATAATGCAAAAGTGACTGATCTATTCATCAACGCTCACACCAAACCGCTGTACCTAGAAACGTGAAATTTCAACGGTGTATTTTCTTTATTTTTTTCTTTTTATATATATAATTTAAATATGAGATGACAAAGTGTTTTTGGAAATACAAACCCTAAGGGGGTGAAAAGGGGTAAAATTTCTTTTACGGAATAATAGTTTTTCTGAAGTTTAAAGACGTGAAATTCAGCATACGAACTCTTCGTTCGAAACGAATCCTCGTGCGAGGTTGGAAAAGAGGAAAATGGTCTTATGAATGAATGAAGAAACACCTCATTGAAAATAAACTTTCGCTTCTACAATAACAAATCGTTTATGATTAGCCACGCTCTAGTATTATCGATAAATTTTCAAACTCGATTTTTTTCGCAAACTTGAAACATAGATATTGTATCGCTATCTTATCGTGTTATATCATATCAATTAACTGTTTTCTAGTAATTAGTATGTATCTATCTTAGTGTATGCTGTACTATGTCTACGTATGTCTACGTAGCTGTATTTTAAAAAATGTAACTATTTTTTTTACTTGAATGTTACTTGGCGATTAGAAAGATATATTTTGCTATAAAAATTTCCTTTCACGATTACAGCAGAAAAATATGATATTTTTATGATTTGCGAGCTTTTTAATTTTAATGTATCGTTGGAACGTCTGAGAAGTTAAGCTAAACTGTTTACTCAGAATCGTTTCCCTATAGATAGTGAAAACGTAATCCATCATAATCTTCTACTTTGATTTTCAATATAAAAAAGAAAAGATACGGCTTACCGTGTTTCCCCCCGCAATCTTCATTTTTCATTTTCACAAACGATAGATTTATAACAGAGCCTATCTACGCTCTAGAAAAAAAAGAAACATTCGATCGAGAGGATCAATCTTTGAAACGAACGATTATCACTGTAGCGTTGTCACTGATACAATGCTCTTCGTCTAACCGCCAAGATGCGACAGCGATGAATATTTAACGATAACAATTGCGTCAGCGCTATTAACAAATTAATGAGACGCGAATTATGCGACAATAACATTGATAAATTAAACTTCATAGATCATAATATACGTAGCGTTAAATCACATAGCTTCTAGTCTTCCGTCTGTTTCTAGGATTTCTATGAAATTTAGCAGAAATTAGAAAATGAAAATTTGTTCATTAGAAATGTAGAGATTTCCAAGGAAGAAAGGTAAACTAATTTAACACGCTATGAACTAGCAGTATTTTACCATTGTTGATTGAATTTTATGTGAATGTAGAAATTATTTATGCATACGCCTGTAAAATTGTTAGAAAATAATGAACCTAGGTACAACAAACGAATTATTTGTTTTATCAGTGTAACGAGGTTGAAGAATCCTGAATTATAAAATAATTGAGAATTCTAGAAAGAATAATAAAACTTATTAGAAATAATTAATAGATATTATTGAAAATTATTGATAGAATTTGTTAACAAAAATTAGTGGAAATTGCCAGAGATAATGGAAATTATTAAAAATAATCGATGAAAATTATTGAGAACGATCAATTATTAAATTATTAACGCAATGAATGGAAAATTATTGAAAATGATCAATGGATACTATTGAAAATAATTGAAGAAAATTACTGAAAATAGTAGAAATTAATATCTACAGATAGTTAATAGGAATTATTAAAAACGTTGTGATGGAAATTATTCACAACAGTCTCTACACATGCTACCTATCATAAACATGATATTTCGTATAATTAATGAAACAAAGTTGAAAAATCTTGAACTTTACTGCTATGTATTCGGAGAATTTGCCGAGAAACAAATCGCATTTATCATGCTGCAATTTCAGAATGATACATACATAATGTCATACCTGTCCACTTAAATAATGATCGATCGATAGGGGAGCAGCTTTCGTTCGTGAAATTCTTCCACTCGATCGTCAGATTTACCGATCGTAAACACGCTTACTTAATTTTGCAACGATGCACGACAGCAATAGAGACAGCTAAAAATAACGCGAGAGTATTTGGCAGCCAAAATAATTTTCTCTCTATTTCCAAATGTCTGATCGTAAACGAACGTCGAGTTATTAGGAGGCGAACGAATTTTTCTAATAACTCGCCAAAGACGAAAATTAATCAGTTCGTTTCTACATTTTTCGAACCAGTTAGCTGTTTTCGACGAGTATACTCGGCGCGAAGAGATGGCAATATTTTGCGTTATGACGAGCCCTGTGAGTAATAAAATTAAAATATGAAAC